GTTGCTGGGAAAGTTAAACAATTCATTGTTGGATGTTTTATATATATATTTTAATGAAGATATATGTATAAATTATTTAACTAAAAACAGCAATTGCTAGTCAAAAAATATAAGGGTAATTCAATAAAACAGTTTATAACTTTAATGAGAATAGAGAATTTGATCATGTAAACAGAAATGATTATTGATGAATGTGCAAATAATTTGCATAATGTTTTCATAAAATTTTATCATCAAATCAGAGGAGTACAGTATAGTAACAATATAAAGTAATCTAATTTTTGCCTTTTTAAAATGTTTCATAAAAAGCTATTTACTATGTTGTACTACAATTTAATAGATATTTATGAACAAAAAAATTTTAAGGAAAATTAAAGTATTACTGATAAACAGCATTTCAGCAGTAAATTTCCATTCCATCTATTCAATACTGTATTGAGTTAATGATTTGGGATAGAAAAAAAATATTGAAACTGTAAAGTGCTAGTTATCATTAACCATTAATGTTAGAACAGCTCTACTAATTCATAGTAAACTGAACTTGAAAAAATATCTATGCAAGTATTTGAAATGTTGACAGTTAATCATATGATTGAATGACTCCAATGTGCAAATTATTAAAATGCTGATAATTCTACTAAAAATTAAGATTTTGTGTTGTAACTTGTGAATTTATTTATCACCTCAAGAGAATCAAATAGACTAAAGATGAAATGGATAAACAAAATTGTTATTGAAAAATTCAAAACAAAACTACACAATCTTGTTTTGAACTTTTCAATGATTTCTTTGGATATAAAAGAACCTACTTACTGTAATTATATATATATATAAAAAAAACAATAGTAGTAAGAGATGTCATATTTACTTTGCCAACATCCCAGATCTTAGACATGTTTGTGTTATAATGCACATATTCAGAATGCTCATTTAATCCAATAGCCTATCAATGAAATAAGTTGGAAAATAATTCTCAATTTGTTCAAAGAAACATCACAGAAGCAGGAACTTTATATACTAACTAATTTATGCTTAACACACAACTTCCAGCAAAGTGAGTTTTCAACCACAAACATTTTTGGCTTCATTCTGTTCAAAACCTGAATTGTTATAACTATTTTTAATTTTATTTATATATGTTAACTTTTAGAAATCATGAAAAAAAACTCTCTAAATTTGCAAATGATGAAATTAGAGATTTGTACAATGTTGATTCCAACATCAAACCAACAATATTTTATCATTAAGAAATCTAATAAAAAGGCAGAACAAATGTATATATTAATAGATATAAAAAAAAAAGTTTGTTTGATTTACAATAAATCACTATTTAGTTAATAACATTTACATTTTTGTTTATTGAATTGCTCTTTTACTTTAAAAAATTGTCAAAATATAAATTCAAGAAATTTTGTAAGTAAAAAGTACTTACAATTATATTATACAGAAAAGCTATTTCAGAAGCATGAAATACTTACCTGAAATAAACTTGGAAAAAAACCATAGCTATGTGTTTAAAAATGAACACAATTTCTAATTGCACAATTTTTCAAATGCAATACATTTTTTTGTGTTTTTTTAAAGATAATCAAAATTATGATTCAGATAACTTTTGAATTAGAATGAATGGAAATTCCTCTTATGTGCACTATCTCAGTCCACTTCAGCCATAATTTTTTTTTATAAAAGATTTCTTTTATTTGATATTAGAAATTATATTAGATAACATTGACATTACAAAAGTTTCATAAATACTAAATATGACAAGTTTGGAAGAAATAAAGTAATTCTTCTAGTATTTCTTCCTGAAATAAATTTAATAAAAACATGTTAATTTATTTAAATTACCCTTAATTATATCAACACTTACCTAAATTAAATAAAAGTTTATCCATATTTATAGGAGGAAGCCTTCACACCACATGCAAGCAGTGTTTTCCTTTTATAATCATCAAATGCTTACTTCAATTAAGTTGTTTAATCCCTTTTAAAAAAGCTTGATTTTAAAATACATTGATGAGATCAATCATCTAAGGTTTGTGCTAATATAATATAACTGGTAACTGGTTTATCCAATAACTATTACATGATAATCATGGGAGCTCATTTTTCAATTTCTTGTGAACGATTTTCAAATAATTATGAAAAATATTTTTTGTCATATATCAACAAGGTTAGAATGTCAGTGTCATTAACAGACAGTATTTTTCATATGAAAATTAGTTTTCTTAACTCACAAATTTCCATTTTACATATTGGTTTCAAACAAACAATGTGAACTTCCCAGAAGTTATCAATACTTTACCAGTTAAATTTTACAATCCTATTTCAAGTAGAATATGTATAAATTTTTTCAAATATGAAAAGATTAAATTTGGTTCACAATATTACTGAGTTATTTGAAGTGCAAGCAATAGCAAATAATTATGAAAGAAAAATGATACATTTTACAACTTTTAACTTCATAAAATCATTCAATTCAGCCATCAAAAAATCTTGTAATAAAATCTTGTAATATTAATCAAAGATTTTAAAGATTTAAATACTGTAAGTGTCATATTTCTCTGATCTTTTAAGCTATTATTTCACATTTAAATGAATAAATTGCAATTAAAATTACAATTTACAATATTCATTATAATAAATATTTGCTAAAGTTACAATTATTGTTTGTTCAAATCCTACATAGTTTCACTTTCTTAAAAATTATTTCTTTTATGTATAAAACATTTTTTCACTTAACTTTTCAAATTAAGATTTTAAGTTTCTTCTCAGTTTTACATAATACTAGTAAACAAGACCATTGTGATAAACTTCTTTTATTCATTAGAACTTTATAAAATCTATTCTTGAAAGTTATTAAAATAGATTCCAATAAATTATATTAAATTATCCATAATTCAAATTTTCTAATTAAATCAATTAGTCCAAATATAATAAATTATTGTGTTAAAATAAGCAGCTTTCAATTAATATATCTCAATAGAAAGCTGAAATCATTTCCCTAGTATTTATAATAATAATATATTTAACTATCATTTTTATTCATTACTTCCTGATCACATTTGATTTTTTCCTTTTCTTTTATATTATTTCATTATTCTGTTCTTTAATATCATTTAAATTCATATTTCTTTCTTCTAAACAACTTCAATTGTATATAATGCAATGTCAGTAAGTTTACACGATATATATCTCTGTACTTCAAGGAAATGACAAATTCCTGCACAATTGCAATTTCATTTCTTAAAGATGTTACACACAAACTGACATGATTTTGTTGTATCTTTTTATTAGATTTATTAAAAATTATGTAACTAGTTAATAATTTAAAAAGAAATCAATATATGTCTATGTATTTACCTATTCTATATTAATATATAGAATAAGTAATTGTAAACAGTTATATGGAAAGGGTTAAAATATTTCCTTGTGCACTTTTCACTTTTTTCATTGTTTATAAAGCCAAAATTTTAAGAAAAGTTCACATTTTTTATTTATAAAAAGTGCATGATGGAAAATTTGATAGTTTGAAGCATTGTTCTCCCAAAAAAATTACACCCAAAGTATTTACCTTGCTACAATAAAGTAATTTTCCCTATTGAAAGGGTTCATCATCATCATCATCACCACCATCATCAGGATTGCAAACATCAAAGAGGTTCAGGTACACATCAAAAACACAGCCAGCCAGTGAAGATTTCAACCAGCATCAATGTAGCAATAGTAGTAGATTGCTTAAGTTGCCAGGAACTTGGAATCACATCTTCAAGTGGCTTGACTAACCATCATTCTGACCTCTAGTAGTCAGCCAGCCAGCCAGATAACCATTTGACGTGGGCTAGAAGCCCTATAAGATTAGGAGATGTGCTCTCAACCAGATTTCTGACCCTTCAGCAGGTAGAAAGCAGTATAGCCAATACTTTCAACCCCAGAACATCACAAAACCTCAAGGTTCTCCATGATGAATGCCACATTAGGAAACTTGTATGAAAGAGATATTACAAATATTTAGCTAATAATTAAAATATAACTTTAACTTAGCAGTTTACTGTATAACTAAACTGTAGAATAATTAATAAAAGTTCTTTTAATAAGTCTCCCATCTAACCAACAATTGATTCTTGAGATTACAAAATTCAGTATACAAGTTTCCAATTATTAAAAAAAAAACCAATAAAGTTTAATTCCATCAGAAACTGTTTTAATTAAAATTTTTAAATGATGGACAAAAGTATCCAGGAAAGTTGTGTTTTATGCATGCATCTTCAGATTCAGAATATAAATAAAAAATCTAAAAAATTACATCTAATAATTTTCAATACAATAAAATTTTTTTGTATATTTAAACTACATATGTATATATTTGATAAGAATACTTTTGACCATCAGTTTCAACTAAAATTCTTAAAATCACTAAAATTAAGTATGAAAAGCGAATTGATTTATTGGCTACAATGATTTCTTATTGATTATATGTATTCATTTTGAAACTAATTTTTCTATTATGCTTATTTAGTTAATAAATATTATATCACTTAAACATTTGTTATTTTGCACAAAAATAGAACTGATGTAATGCTATAAAAGCAAGAAAGTTATACATAAAATATCAATGATCCAGATTAAAATACTTGTTCTTTTATATTAGATGTGGACGTCAGTGAACTGTATTTCAATTTATATAAACATTTATATTTCTTAATTCAAATTGTCATTTATATTAAATTAATATAAAATTTTGAAACTGAAAAGATGGCATCTTTGAAGATGATAATTTATGAAATTCCTAGAATAAAATTAATTATTGAAAGGAATATTATTTTCTATTCAACATGTAATTGCTGGCTGTGCAAAATATAAGTGCTGTTTGAGTATTAGTATTTATTTGTAACTATCAATCAACATTCGTTTATAATTATTAATTTAAAAGTTAATATTTATAAATTATAAATCAGTCAAAAATTATATATTTATACATAAATAAAATCATTACTTACCTGCCAGCTAACACGACTACTCAAATTCTCTACAATAAGTCGATATTCAGTCCTGGTTGGAGGTCCATATCTATAACAGATGCAATAAATTATTAATTGATGTTTAATAATCCAAAAATCCATTGATTTAAAGAATTGTTAAACAAAAATTACTTCTCTTTTCCTGCCCGCCTCCGCGGAGGTGTCCTCCAGTTTCGATTTCTATAGCCCCAGAGATCACTTCCGCGAAGTGGACCCCGTGCATGCTCAACAGACACTCTGAAAAATAAACAACAGAACAGCTTACTTTTCAATCCAATTGGTACGACGCCTGTAGCCAAACTGGCGGTTTCTTTGAGCTGGACCACGGGCAACTTGCACTATAACTCTGACCAAATGAATGAATAATATAGCCATTTTGACAGAGTAAAATTATTTATTAATTCTTATTAGACTAAATTACCTTTCTCCAAGCAATTCTTTTCCATTTAATTCATAAACTGCATCATCTGCATCTCTATAATCATCAAATTCCTGAAATTAAAAACAAAAAAACTTAACTTTCATTAAAAATCTATAGTCTATATTCAAAATCAATCATAAAATTGATATTTAATGATATGAAGTCAATAATTCAAACTGTATTAAATATCATCCAGGTGTTAATTTGTTCATCTTAATTTGTTGAATACAAATACAAGTTAAAGATTTACATTACATGAACATTACTGGAATATTGCATATATTGGGTTGTTCAGAAAGTAATTTCGTTTTTTTCCAAGGAAAAAAAACACAATATTTTTATAATAAATATTTTATTGAATTATATCAGGTCAATCCATAAGTTCATGCATATTTTTATCTACAAAAAAAGCAACAAAAAATTTTAATTAAATTTTATTTCCATCTATGATGTATTCACCATTATTTTGTACAATTTCTTGCCATCTTGATGGTAGCTTTTTAATCCCGTCTTTGTAAAATGATTTCGGTTTTGAATCAAAATATTCAGAAATAGCCTTTTTTACATTGTTCTCATCCTCAAAAGTTTTTCCTTTTAAAAAATTCTGCAAACTCCGAAAAAGATGATAATCACTGGGAGCAATATCTGGCAAATATGGTGGATGAGGTAAAATTTCCCAGTTGAAGCTTTTGAGTT